ACCGAACTACCCTACTAGACAGATAGGAAGTGATAAGACGGATAAGCTTTTGCCCGGTCTCAGCGAATCGAGGCGTTGCAATTGAAGTGTTCAGTAGTAGCCTGGTCCTGTCTGTATATTTCCAATTCTTGGACTGCTAGTCGATACTCTTCACGGATATAACACGCTTTGAAGTAGTTGCAATCGGATTACAAGGGGTCGAGATATTGAACAAAAACTCACAAGCATTCGATGTTGATTAATCAACTTACTCCCTAACTGATTGGGGTCCTGAATACCAGGCGTACACAGGTACAGATCATGTGAATAAATAACTAAATCTGCATGACTTTCATATAATTCCCCAGGAGAAACCAATACCACCACTCTGATGCCCGCATCGGCATCGCTGTTACCATGAACCTCACAATCAATAGCAGAGCGACCAACACACCCTCTGCAAGTGACTCTCCAGGTACACCTCGAGATTCAGCAATTGAGTAAATTGAGCCTCCAGACATTCCAATAGCTATTTAAACGCCGACTGAACCACCTACAGACATCACATATGGGAGGAAGATCAGAGATACCTTCGACAATGCGAGTTGATTAAAGCAATAGTGGAATTCAGACAACGTCACCAACCAAAAACAACGCCACTAAGACTGTATGGAGGGAGAGCCAATTTCTCCGCGGATTAAATAATCATCAGGGGCGGCAACATGATCACCAACTTAACAGACGCCAGAACGTATGAACTGGTAAGGAAAAGAGTACTAACGAGCCAATCTAATCACTGTTGATATTTGTGGTGTGGTTCCTTTTGTGTTTTCAATAATAAATACCTACTCATTAAATTATCTTTTGAATAATAGTTATTTTATATACAAGACGATAAAATGGTAGTTTATCGTTGACCGGAAAAGTTAATTCACGAGCGGAATCGCGAGTGAATTATTTCCGGGAAACGATAATGGCATTTTATCGTCGTGTGTAGAACAAAGTTTTTTTCCATAGCCTAAGACACCTGTAGTATCAAAAATATTTAGAAATTATTTGAGTCGAACACTTTTGCATAAGTAGAAATTCGTTTGACAAACTTTGACAAATAAAAAAAAAACACCATATTGTACATATTTTTGATAAAATAAACGTCTTTATAATATAAAGTCTGTTTTTTTTAAAGATAAAAGTCAAAATGACATTATGTTGGCAATACAATGTAAAATTGTCAATGCTTTCAAATGTTTTATGTAGAAAAGGCTTGTGCTGCCAACATAGTTACTAAATGTTTGACTTGGGGAATTATCTTTAAAAAAAAAAAAAAACTTTAAGTGGTAAAAGTGACATTTTATTTTGTGAAAAGGGAAGTTTGGGACACGACGCCGAAGGCGGAGTGTTTCATACCTTTGAACAAAATAAAATCACTTTTAGCACGAATATCATACATTATTTTTAGCACTAGTGCTAAAAGTAATCACTTTTAACACCAGTGTCATAAAATGGCATTTTAGACACTGACAGCATCCGTTAAAAATGACACTTTTAGTGGCATTTATAGAAAAATAACTATTATCTATCTTTGCTGTTAAAGTATCATTAATCTACCCTTGCGGTTAAAGTACTACTTTATCTACTATTTTTAGTAGATTAAAGGCTACTTTACCAGTAGCTATGGAAAAAAAAACTATCGTTTATCAATTATTAACTCATTAAAATAAACATGGACAATCATCATCTAATATTATACCGCCAAAACTTGACAACTCAATATTGACTTATGACTTCTGTCTAAAATAAAATAAGGTTACAAATCAAGAGGAGCGCGTTCGAAACTTCCATTTTTAGTGATACTCAACCGCCCTCCTCGATAAAAATCTCCTAATACCTAAATATCTGAATTTACTGAAGGATAAACTTGGTAAACCTTTTGTGAGAATATCTGCTTGTGGATTACTACTCTCAAGAAATACCAAGTTCGTCATTCCTTTCTTCAAATTTTCGGAAACAAAATTATATTTCAAGTCAATATGTTTAACTCTTTTGTTATTAGATGGATTTTTAATGATTGAAATACAACCCTGATTGTCCTCAAAATATGTAATAATATTAAATTTAATCTGAAAATCATTAAACAATTTTTGCAGCCATAGACCTTCAGTCACTGCTGAATACAATGCAACCAGCTCGGCTTCTGTAGTTGAAAGTGATACACAATTTTGCTTCCTCGTGATCCACATAAGGATGTTCCCAAATATTTTAAAAACAAAACCTGTCACAGATTTCCTATCATTTAAATCACCACCCCAATCTACATCAACAATTCAGACCTTCTTCCTTAGATCTAATATATTTTAAACCAATATTTTCTGTTCCTTTCAAGTATCTAAAAACTCTCCAATCCAAGATTCTTCTGACGCTTTATCCTGGATTCTACTGAAATAATTTAAAGAAAAACATATATCTGGCCTAGTGCTCAATATTATATACATTTCAATTTCAATTTCAATTTCAATTTCAAATAAGCTTTATTGTCTCAATTTAAAAAAAAAATTATTGACAAAGCAGTTTCTAAACTAAAAAATATCAAAATTCAACAAAAATATCAAAAACATAGAAATGAACAATTGTACAAAGGTTAAAATAAAAATAAAAATAAAAATAAAAATAAAAATAAAAATAAAAATAAAAATAAAAATAAAAATAAAAATAAAAATAAAAATAAAAATAAAAATAAAAATAAAAATAAAAATAAAAATAAAAATAAAAATAAAAATAAAAATAAAAATAAAAATAAAAATAAAAATAAAAATAAAAATAAAAATAAAAATAAAAATAAAAATAAAAATAAAAATAAAAATAAAAATAAAAATAAAAATAAAAATAAAAATAAAAATAAAAATAAAAATAAAAATAAAAATAAAAATAAAAATAAAAATAAAAATAAAAATAAAAATAAAAATAAAAATAAAAATAAAAATAAAAATAACAGTAAGAATAAAAATAGAAATAAAAACAAAGACAAGAGAAGCCAACAATCAGAGGGAGCCGACACCACATTAAAGTATGTCGTTAAAGTATTCTTCAATGTCATAATAGGCCTTCCCCTCCAGCAATTTTACAATACCTCTACGAAATAATTTTGCATTCGATATCTCTTTCAAGTCGGTTGGTAGATGATTATATATTTTAAGGCTTTCGTAAATTAAAGAATTTTTGGTCAAACTAGATCTGGGAACTGGTAGAGGGAGCCTGCCCGACTGCCTTGTTGTACGGACTCCAGATACCACCCCTCCATACTTTTTATGAACCAAACAAACAGTTTCCAAAATAAATAAACAAGTTAACGTTAAAATTTTTGAAGAAAGAAACAGGGGACGGCAATGTTCACGTTGTTTTTCATTATGAAGATAACGGATGGCACGCTTTTGAAGAACGAATGCGGAGTGAAAGGCGTAACCTGGGCAAAACCCCCAAAAGGCCACCCCATAACGTAAAATAGAGTCCACCAGGGAGAAATACACGATTCTTGCCAGTGAATACCCCAACTCTGAAGTAGTCATTCTCACAGCAAAGCAGGCAGAAGCCAGTCGAGCTTTCAATCGCTCTATGTGCTCAATAAATTTTAAGTTCTTGTCGACAATTATTCCTAGAAATTTTACACTAGAGGAACAACCTATTGTTTGCGTCTCCAAATTTATGGGATCAACAGACAATCCAAAGGAAAGAATGTTTGATTTGGAGATATTAAAACACAGTTGGTTGCTGTCACACCACTGCTTCATGGAAACAATATCTGCAGTCATCGCCTCATGCAGAGTGGATCTAGGACAGCGCCACAGAGCAGTAGTATCATCCGCAAACCGCGTAAACATACAACTAAGAGGCAAGGAAACAAGATCCTCTACATAAATTGAAAACAGTAAAGGTCCCAAAACTGATCCTTGCGGGACTCCTCTAGGATTTAATAGAGGTTTAGAATATGTACTTCTACTACCCACGACCTGAAAACGATCAGACAGCATTGACAGGATCAGTTCACTCGAACGTCCCCGGAAGCCGTATCGCTCCAGTTTTTGCAGCAATATACCGTGACTCACACAATCGAAGGCTTTCGAAAAGTCACAGAATACTGCCGCCACAGAGTCCGATCTAGAATTGAGCCCCAGATAAACCTCCTCTAAAAGATTAAAAATTGCGTCCCCAGTGTTCATACTCTTTCTGAAACCAAATTGTGTATTAGTAATTATTTTATGCTTTTCCAGATGTTCAAGCATTCTGGATTTCATAAGTTTCTCCATGACTTTAGAAATTGACGATAACAAGGAAATCGGCCGAAAGTTGGATGGATCATTAGTATTACCACCCTTATGCAGTGGAATGACTAATGCTGTTTTTAAACAATCGGGAAACACACCTGTAAAAAATGTCAAGTTCATTAGATTTAAAAGAGTATCCAGAGCTGAGTCCGGGAGATTCATTAAGACTTTAACCGAAACACAGTCAAAACCAGAGGAGTTTTTATTCTTAATCCCCATAAGCGCAAGTTTGACTTCATCTAGACTTGCAGGAAGAAATTGGAAGGATTCCAGTACATATACCTCTCTGAGATAATCCAGGGGATTAACAGAGGAAGGTAAGTTGGATGTTAATGTGTCCGCTATGGTACAATAAAAGGTGTTAAGTTTATCCAGTTCGATCTCAATATTTTGGGCCGGTTGACCATTCTTTCCCCGCAGATCATTAATGATATTCCAGCTTTCTCTAGACTTGTTTTGGACACCCCGAAATCTGACATTATAGTATGCTTTTTTGGCAACCTTTAGAGTCCGTCTGTAGATAGATCGGTACCTGCTAGTATACTCTATAATGGATGCGTTATTTGTGTGTTGCCTAACAGACCAGAGAAATCTCAAATTTTTCCCAGAAATACGAATACCCCTCGTCACCCAAGGTTTCCTTTTTTTAAGCTTTATCCTACGCAATGGAAAACACTTGTTAAAGATATTCAGCAAAACACCGTAAAACTGACTAAAGGGATCCTGGCAAGCAAAAACATTGTTCCAACAATACAATAAGCATTCATTATGAAAAGTTTGGAAATTTCTTTGACTATAGATTCTGCCCATTTTGTGCAAACAAACCTTTTCTGTACCAAAAAGAAGAGCCGATATGAAAATCGCCTTATGATCTCCCATTCCTGGATCAAGGGTTATGGAGGTCACCGTACCCTCCAAATTTGTGCATGCGTAATCTAGCCCTGATTTTGAGGTAGGTGTTACCCTGGTGTACTCCGTATTATGTCTTTTGATATTAAAACTAGCAAGCAAATTTTTGAGGTCGGTGGCATCCCTATATTCCGTCATAAAATCAATATTTAGATCCCCACCCAACACTATCTTGGCTGAAGAAGGAAGCGAGCACAACAAAAGTTCTAGCTTATTTAGAAAGCTCTTGGAACTTTGGGAGGGTGAAGTGTAAACTGAAACAAAGTAAGTGCTATCAGCTGAATCCGCCACCAACGAAAACTCAAACAACCTCTCCTCAATCAAATAATTGAATCTATCAATTGAGCAGAATCTGCGTCTCTCACAAAGCTCAGATTTTATAAGAATTGCCGTACCTCCCCTGCGGAAATTTTTGCGGCAGTAAATTGATGCCACAATGTAACCTTCGACAAAACACACCTGATCCCCAGACAACCAATGCTCACTCAAATAAAGCACATCTGGAAACCCAAGAGCATCAAGAAGTACGAAAAGCTCGCCTGCCTTATTTAAAAATCCCTGGCAGTTAAAAACAAAAAAAGATGTTTCCTGACCAGACCACCCCTTCCCTACTTTCCTGTCACTGAAGGAGTCCCTGTCACTAGAATCTACTAAGCCAACAGTGCTGTCATGTCGGCTCCCATTAAAAAAGATTGTGAAGACACAAATATCTCATCTGATGTAGTTGCCTGATACACAACTGAACTGTTATTAATAGCTAAATTATCTGGGCCTTCATTAAAATTAACCAAGTTGGAATTAAATCCACTAATAACTAAATGAACTAAATTTGATTCCATGTTATGATATGTAAAAAAGTTAGACACTAAATTTAAAATACAATTAGAAACCACATTCAAGCCAAGCTTGTTCAAAAATTGAGATCTCAAGCCAAAATGCTTTTCTGACATTCTGCAAGAATTATTATTAAAGGAGAGGAGTTTAATATTATTATTAAAGCGTGAAAGGTTTTTTGTTACCCGAATTAAAGTTTGGTTTTGAAAATAATTGAAGCCAGGTTTAGTGGGAGTAGTACAGATAATTAAGTTTGAATGAAAACATTTATTGGCTAAAGTAAAAATGTTTTTCTCTGTCACACTGCCACAATGCGGGCCAACAAATAAAACAACAAAATCAGAGACACTAAAGTCTGATATAAATGGCTCAATTCCATCGATGATATTGTCCAAATTGGCATCAGGCTTGCACAAGACTGACAGTTCAAAGCCACTGAACAACTTTTGGGCCAGACTATTATATAAGTATTTACCATAACCATCCGTAAGTAACAAAACTTTATTATTGTTTTCACTAGCATTACTGGTGAATTTGCTGCCGTTGCCGTTACCTTTACCAAATTCACCATCATTAACATTGCTATCCTCGCTGTTCTCACGAACATCAATTCTGTTGGGGTTTGCATTTATCTTACCAGTAATTACAGATGATTGACCATTGAGTTTTTGATCCTTGAGCTGGAGTAATTGCGAGCTGAGACATTCTATTTCTCGTTGATATTTTCCCAGGTCCTCCGTAAGATTAATATTTATTTGTAACATCCTAGTAACCTCAAGCTCCAGATCCATAACATCTTCTTTTTTAGCGTAGAGCTCTTCCTTGAGCTCATCCAAAAGCTTGTCAGAGTTTGTGTGGTTTTTGGAGAGTTCTTCAATTTGCAGCTGTAAGCTGTCGGTACTAGGGTTCATTTTTAAAAGATTCAGTTCATTCCTGAGTACTGAGATTTCAGTTTTTAAGCCTGAAATGTATGGATTTTCCTCGTCAATCGAAGCGGTATTCATGTCAGTCTGCACATTAGAGTCCTTCGTAGTTGTATAGAAAGTTTGGCCTTCTTTACACGACACAGGTGTGGACTCCTTTTCTCCTGACTTGCAAGTCGATCCCTCCAAAATCTGCTGTTGTAAGAGTTTCAGGTTTTTTTTTAGTTGTTTATTTTCCATGCAGAGATCTTTTATTTGTTTTAAATAGCTCTGTTCCGCCTGCTCTGCGTCATCGTAGAATGAAACTGAATTTCTTTTCAATTTTTCTATGTGGACATCTTTATTTCTGCTATCAATCTCCAGGCTTCTCAACAAAGACTTAAACTCGTCATATACGGTGGGATCTAAGATGGACTCATCCCCAGCAGCTCTGTCCACACATAGTTTAGAGCAAAGAATAAAATTTCCAGTCACAGTCTCATAGTTTGACCGTCTTTCCCAACAACTACGATGAAATATGTTTTTACAAGATAAACAAAACCAATTACTGTGTTCCTTTCCCTTACAACATTTGAAATTTGTAGCCATATTAAGAAAAAAATAAATAACTATATATATATGGACACAAAAGCACTATATAGGTAGGTATCCATAAATAATTTGAAACATAGTTGAAAACGTTGAAACATAGTTGCTCACAATTGTACAAGATTAGTACAACAAAAATGACTAACACAACCGTTTGTGAGAACTATTTATTGTTTATTTATTTTTTACCGGTATCACTGTCGCCGAGATTCCCCAAAAAAAAGTACAATAAACCGAAAAAGAAAAAAAAAATGTTTGCAATTGATTCGACGATCCGACCGAAACGGTATAGGATTTTACGCAGTTACCGATGATACAACTGACCACAGACACTGATTTATTCACAAAATTACAAAGGAAAAATTACTGAATAAAATGATACTACACACATCAACCATATAATAGACTCGGTGGTGAAAAAGACTCAAAAACGGGAGCACGAAACAAACACGTGCAGATTGACTTGACATGATTGAACATCCTATCATCTCTCTGTATGGTTTTTCAGTTGAATTTTCCTCATCATGACAAATATCAAGTTTCAGTTTAGGATCAATTGGAATATTGCTTATCTTACATTAATCCATATTGAGAAGTTTTAAAATTGCTTTAACGTATTTTGTTTGGCTAATTTTTAAAATTCCCCTTTCTCTTTCTAAAATATTTGTAGCTCTAAAAAATAATTCAAATGCCCTTTATCTTTAATTTTAAAACGCTTCATTATTTAAGTCTTAATATCATTAATACCATTTAAATTCGGTCCTGATAAAATGATGTCATCAACGTAAATTAATAAATAAACCAGTATTTCATTTTGTTTTAATAAGTATATAAATATAAACAGAAATCGTTTTCGGATCTCAGGAATCCTATAGTTCTAACAAAAATGAATTATTTCCTCATTCCAACATTTTGACGATTGTTTAAGCCCATAGAGTGATTTTTTCAACTTTAAAACTTTACTTGAATCGAACTTAATGCCATCTGGAGAATAAATATAAATATCTTCCTTTAATACACCATACTGAGAAATACAACCTAAAATCTCTATAATAGCGAAGCGTGAAAGGGTTGTACATGAAGAGATTAGATCAAAAATTACAGAGTAGTATGAACTTCCAAAACCTTGAAATGCATTACCAACATATCAAAGAGAGTATTCACAGTGCAGCATTTGAAGCCCTTGGCAAATATAAAAAAAAGGGAAGCAGACCCACACCTTATTGGTGGGACCAAGAAATAGAGAAAGACATAGAAGATAAAAGGAAGAAATACCAACAGTTTCTAACTTTAAATAAGACACGAGACAAAGAAATATATAAAGAAGCACACGGTACGGAACAAAATAGTGAACAAAAAGAACGAGTCATGAGAAAGAAACTGTGCGCATATTAATACTTATCAGAAAGTTAGAGATTACTCAAAAACATGAGGAAAACACAAACTAAGGATATTATCATTAGTAATATAACTAGTGCAATGGAAATTATTGATAATTTTTGGGAAATTTGCCCGAATGCATTTTTAGTTGAAAAAGAGCACGAGTGCACGTAGTGCACGAGTGCCTTTTTCAGTTAAAAACGCATGAGTGCAAATTTGTCGAAAATTATAAATATATTTCCATTGCACGAGTTGTATTTAATGAGAGAATTTCATAAATCAAAAATTTAAATTTTTTGTCAAAAAATGTCAAAACACCAGTTTTCGCACCAGTTGCAATTATCTGATAATTTGCACTAGTGCAAATTATCGCTTAATTACAATCTGATTGGTTCAAATCAACAATCAAAACATGTCAATTTATTGTTGGAATACCAGTTTTGACAGATGTATGAAATTCTCAATACAATAACACCCCAGCAATGGGAAGAATACTTTAAAGAATTATTGACAGAACAGCGGGCAGAGTTTAAAGAAGAAAAGGAACAGGCACGAAACATAAAAACTGCAGGATCACCAATGCGAGTTATGCAAGAAGAAGTTAAAAAACACTGCGGCTTCTTGAAAAATGGTAGGGCACCAGGCCCAGGAGAAATATATGGAGAACTGATAAAGTGTGGAACCAATAAACTCTACAAACATTTAACAAAGCTATTTCAAACATGCATAGATGAACATAAAGTACCGGAAGAGTGGAAAATTAGCTATTTAACAACGATATATAAGAAAGGAGACAGAAACAAATGCGAGAACCACCGAGGAATTGCAGTAACAAATACGCTGAGCAGAGTGTATGGGAAACTTATAAAAGCCAGAATAGAGAACGAGTACAAAGATAGTGAAGCAGAAGAACAGGCCGGTTTTAGAGCAGGAAGATCAACTGTAGACCATTTATTCAGTTTGACCCATGTAATGGAAAAGAAACTAGCCTATAACCAAGAACTCCATTTAATTTTTGTCGATCTAAAGAAAGCATACGACAGTGTTCCGCTGAAAAAGCGTTGGGAAGCACTGGAAAAGACCAATATCAACTTAGAACTGATAAAGGCAGTAAAAACGCTCTATAGTTATGCAAAGACCAAGATTGAACAGGGAAACTTAATCAGTAAAGGCTTTATAGCAACTAAAGGACTTAAACAGGGATGCTGCATATCACCAACACTTTTTAAAATATACTTATAACAAGCTCTCAAAGGGTGGAATACAAATATTTGGGCATGAAAATCTCACATAAGGGAACCCTAGACGAAGCAATTGAAGATCGGAATATACAAGGACGCAAGGCAATATCCCTACTGAATGGTGTACTGTGGGATCAAAATATCAACAAAACTAACAAAACGAAAATATACAACACCATAGTCAAAAGCATAGTCACGTATAGTTCAGAAGTCTGGCCACTAAAGATCAGAACCGCAAAAATGCTAGAAGCAACTGAAATGGACTTTTGGAGGAGATCGGCAGGCAGGTCAAAAATGGAAAGGATAACAAATCTGAGAATTAGGGAGATTATGGACGTAAAACACAAAATAATAGATGATATAAAGGACAAACAGCTGATTTGGTTCGGACATGTACAAAGAATGGCAGAAAATTAACCCACTCGCTAGGGCTCGTTGATTAAACTTTCTTCTCATGAATAAACATTCATTTAACTCACTTGGTGTATAAATAACTATTATCCAATTCATCATCTAAATTATTTTTTATCAAAAATTTTAAATTTGAAAATCCAATATGTACAAATCTTTTATGTAAATTCATGAAATTACTATTTGAAGTTTCAACATTCAAACATTCTGGAATTGAGACACAAAATAAGAGTTCATATAAATTATTCATGTTCCCTATCATTATCAAACCATGATCTTTAGAAAGTAATTTAACACAATTTTGTTCAAAAATAACCGAAATATTTGCATTATCTAATTTCTTGACCGAAAGTAAGTTTTTTTCTCAAATTTGGCACAAAAAAATACATTCTTCAAAGTACATTTTATCTTTTCACCATTAATAAAAGAATGAGCTATTCTATTTCCTATACCTGTAGCTAATGAATAGGTTTTATCCCCTGCACTAGTAATTCTTTGAGGTTTATTTAACATTAATAAGTCAGAATAATAAGATTTATCATTTACCATATGAGCAGTACAACCTGAGTCTATGTAAAATATCAAATTTTGTTGAAAATCACTTTCTTCACAATTATTATTTTTAGAATCCATAAAACAAACATTCTTGTCACTATCTTGTCTTTCCATACATCCATCAATACTACTACCACTACTGTTACCTTGGTGTTGCTTTCGTTCATTTCTTTGACCAACAAGTTCCTCGATAAAATCTGTCATTCCTCAAGTCCTCCATTTGTGCTAAATTACTTACTAGAACCATTCCTTTTCCATTATATTAGTCATTATTCTTCTGTCCATAACCATAATTATTGTTTTGTCGAAAACCTCTTTGTCCACCTCTCAGTACTCCTCTATAACCTCCTCTCATATTTCGCCCATGATTTGCTATAAAACCTCTTCTTTGAATGTAACGATTTTGTCCATTTTATTGTTATTATTTAGTAATGTTGTGAAAATTGATTTTGATGTCTTTTTCTCTTAACCATTCTAATTGACTGTCTTCAAGGCATCGAGCAATCAACGATTTTGCTTTATTTTCTAATTTCATTTCATTCAAAGTACTTACATCTATTCGGGTTGCAACTTGTTCCAAAACTGAATTTTCAGCTAACAACATCTCTACTCTAAACTTAGAATTATCATAATTGCTTCCATTCAATAATTCGACACTGAAATTCTTTCCTTGGGCCATGTTTTCGGATAATAATCCTTTAACCTCACTTTAACTCACTTGGGGCACAAAAAACTCTTTAGAAAAAAAAAAACAATTATTTACCATCCTGGGCCCATACCCTGTTGATATTTTTGGTTTGGTTCCTTCTGTGTTTTTAATAATAAATACTCATTAAATTATCTTTTGAATAAACTATCTTTTATTAATTATTAACTCATTACAGTAAACGTGGACAATCATTATGTATTATTATACCGCCAAGACTTGACAACTCAATATTGACTTATGACTTCTGTCTAAAATAAAATAAGGTTGCAAATGAAGAGGAACGTGTTCGAAACTTCGATTTTTAATGATAATCAACAATCACATGCCGGAAATACTCATTCGATGTTTTTTCATTTTTTTGTTCCTTCAAATTAGTGGAGTTTTTCTTGTACAGAATGTACTCACACTTTCGGGGCTTGATACTTTCTATGTCCTCCGGGTCAATTGTATGAGTGTCAAGGGGCACTGTGCTGATACGAGCGATTGCCGGACATACGGTCAGGACATGGATGGTTCGTTTCTCATCCTCTCAGACAGAATCTGAAATCGAGGTTGCCTAGGATGCCCAATAAGTCCAGATTTTTGTTGACAGTGTCTCACAAGGATCCCCTCCAGTAGACGGATGGTCTGGGTTCTTTACGAGCTCTAGGATAGTCTTTGGTCTTGCTTGGCTTCCAGGTCTCCTTTAGAAGTCTGACTTGACTCATTCCTTTGTACTTAAGGCTCATAGCAAAGTCTTTATCATAGTTCCAGGAATAATAGTTAAAGGTGAAGGTAATTTTTTGCTTTCAATTTGAAAGTTCCACTCATTAACAACTGCCCCTGAGACCTGGGAAACTTTTAAATATTTCTGGAAGATCACACCTGCTCTCAAGACTTATCAGCCGCTTAGTCTAGTTTATCGAAGATTTACATCCGGAAAGAGGAGGAAATTAGTATTCCTATTGCTCGATGATATTTTGAAAGCTAGTAGAAAAAGCAAAGATCGATCTATACCACCTCTCGAGTGGAAAAACTTGTGCGAATAGAAACAGAACAGAAGTATAATGGCAAATAGGTACCTTCCCAGTTTTTGTTGCGGATTCAACAACAGATGCGCTTTGAGGTGTTTTTACACCTTGTCAATGGAGTGAGTGTAGGTAAGATTCACAACAAAAACCAGAACCAGTTTATCAGGTCAGTAGTTTTCGAATGATAATCGCAGTTTTTAGTCAGGTATGGTGTTCTCTGTTGGCGTATCCGAACACTACCTCTCAGAAAAAATCTTCGAGAGGAAATCTTAACGGGTCGTTTGGTGCCAAACATTGCAAATTGATTACCTTCCTACGTAATATAGTATGCCGGACAAAATTAAATGAATATTGCTCCCGAACTCAGTACTTTAATGTCC